TTTTCTCATTTGCAGGTAGAGAATAAATGTAGAGTCACCATAGCTTCAGAGGACCACAGGGCTACTTTCTCATTAGAGAGAGATGACTGTGATGGTTTAACACAACAGTCACCCCAACTCAGGTGAGGTTGAAAACGTGGGACCTTCATGGCGACCTCAGTTAATGTGGAAATTTAACCCGTGATGTTGGCATCACTCTGCATTGCAAACCGGCCATCCAGACAACTTCCTAGGCATAGGCATCTGACCACATTGACATTACACATTGTGTGGGCCTTGACTGGGAATGCTGGAGTTACAAGGGAGTCACTATCATGTCCAATGTTTTGCTATGCCTGATTCCTTCCCACTGAGATCGCTGGTTAGTGATCAGAACCTTGTTTACACTTTCCCCTCTCCAACCTAGAATTGCACAGAGTAACTGTAACTCAAGGATGACTCATTAGTGACTGGTTAAACTCTATCAGCCGGCAATGGGACTAATCAAAGAACGGCACAGCAAACAAGGTGATCATTTAGATCAATGAATGTTTTTGGCATTAATGCCTCATATTTTTACAGACTTCTGGATAAAGAAATATCACAAATAAAGTATATGTGTAGCGCGCAACAAAATCAATAGCACAACCATTCTACCCAGAGAAATGCACTAGCATTTTAAAAATGAGAAAAATGGATACAAATCATAGTATCCCTAAGTGTGGAAGCAGGCCATTCAGCCCACTGAGTCCGCACCAACCCTGCGAACAGCATTCCACCTAGACCCACCCCCTACCCTAACCCTGTAACTCTGCATTTCCCATGGTGAATCCAACTAGCCTGCACATCCCTGGACATTATAGGCAATTTAGTATGGCCAACGCACCTAACCTGCACACCTTTGAACTGTGGGAGGAAACTGGAGCACCAGGAGGCAACCCATGCAGACACAGGGAGAACTTGCAAACTCCACACAGACAGTTGCCCGAGGGTGGAATCGAACCTGGCGCCGTGAAGCAACAGTGATAACCATTGAGCCACCGTGTCACCAACAACAAGCTGCAAGTGTTCACCTATTAAAGTTAAATGCTCCAGGTTAAGAAGCACAAAATGTAACTTAGACGCACAAATTTAGATTAGCAAATCCAGTTAACTAAAATCCTGATTTAATACCATGATGTGGATACAAATTGGGATTTTTGTGTCAACAGTCCATGCTTTGAAAAGTCATATGAAAACCTTAACACTCAATATTTCACCCATGTCATTTTATGTTCAAATCTGACAACTAGCTTTCAACATTTACCACCAGGAAACAAATTCCAAGATTTGAGTTCACTCAGTTAAAATCTGGAACAATCAGCAATACCTCACAACAATTTTACAGTGATGCACACAGTGTTTCCTGTTTAGGGAGGAAAAGGTACTTATTCTGTTCAAACATAAAGTATCTATGTCACATACATTCACATATAGATACATTAGCATGTTTCAAAGACAGGAAGTGCTATGATTTCAAGCAATGAGACATTAACTCCTCTCAGAAATGTACCTGAAATATTTCTGTACTATTGCATGTGACAGATCCTTGATTAGTAGAGGAATTAAGGGTTACAAAGAATGTAAAGGAAAAGACAGCTAAGTGGACACAGGGAACGTCAGATCAGCAATGATCCTACTGAATGGCAGAACCAGCTTGAGTGGCCAAATGGCCTGTCCCTGCTCCTATTTCTATTGCTTTTGGTCTCATCTGGATCCTGTATTCTAAAATTTCTAACCTAAAATCCTTTATCATCCAAAACCCTGTCCTTAAAACCCATTTTTTATTCACTGCTGGCAACATCCCTCCTCATATCACCCCTTTTAATTCAAAGTCCATTTTTGTCTGATGACGGTTCTATCAAACACCTATAGCATGTTTTAAATAAATGTTAAATACACATTAATTGCAAGTATTTCCTACTTTATTTGTTTTTCTCTGTGGTAAGTTGTTTCACTGATTAAATTGAAATTTTCCTACTTAAACAAGCTTTTTTTGCCTTTCTGAACCAGCAAAGATATATCTAGGCTTGTAATGTTTAGACTCAAACTCTGGGGTAAATAAACATTGTCATTCAGAAGGTCTATACCTACCAGCTGCTTTATTTTGAAGGTCATTTCAATCACCCAGCACTGAAAGCGTTAATTAAAAAGTTTGGATAACGGACTGCTTTTTATTACACAACAGAACACTAACAGCTGCCTATTGCATGCAGGCAACCAAAGGTCAACAACACGTACACATGGCAGATTTCACCACATGCCAGTTGGGTCACTGACACTATTGGTATACTAGGAAAAAAAAAAATCCTTGGATTGTCCATGTCAAACTCTGTAAATTCGATACACTTCAACAGCCAAAAAGGAAAGTCACTGCCCCACAGTAGTGTGCACTGTTTACACTTTTATATAAGAGATGAGTCCTTGTGACGAATCTGATATCCTGAACTGTGAAACATTCACCTTTCACAGCAACACAAGAACTGGTTCCTGGCATTAACATGGAACAAGTAACAAAACAAGATGCCTGGATCAGCACAGATTAGCATCACAATTATTTCTGATGTCCTATTGATTCCCCACCACAGGCTATGGTTTAACAAGAGACATTGACCCATCTTGTACTTTTTGCATGTTTATTCTTGATTAAATGAGGAAGAAAGATGATCTCAAGACCTAGGCATAAAAATCACCCAAATTTACTGCTCATACTCACTAGCCAGCAAATAGCTGTTTCAACAAGTACTGAGGAACTGCTGCAGCAAAACTTTAAAACGAAAATTACAAATTCCAAACAACAAAAATAAGTAGTTTACTTTATGGATTTTAAGAAGGAGAGTTGGCGGGTGAAGTGGTTTACGTTGGGAATCTCACAGTGCAGGTGCCAGATGTGAAAAGACACACAAATACTTCAAATGGTTTTCCAGAAGAAAACTGACTGACTGAGACATAAATAGTCCCCCTGGAATACAATGGTCTGTTTTGGATGGAAGATCACTCATCCCTTACAAATCTCCCATTAAGTATCCAAGAACTGAAAACCTTGAATTCTTGTTGGTTATGGGAATTTATTTAAAGTTAAAAAAACAGAGAGCAATGGATTGGCAGGAAGAGTTTGCATTGTTGTTGATATGACAATCAGGCTTTAGTGAAGCATACAGCAATATAGTGACAAAATCAGTACAATAGCTGCCACCATCAATAGTTGCCACTTATAAAAGTGACACCACACATTAAGCTAAGTACTGCTTACATAAAAAGTGATTGGTCACATGCTACTTCTTTCCCCAGTGATACTGATAAAAGGTGTGTATAATGGGAGAGGCTAGAAATATAATAATAGAAACATACAAATACAAATGGACATTCTGCAGACTTAAATACATTCAACCTCAAAAGGCATCAACTCAACAACAGAGGTTTAATAATGGCACCCTCCTAAAATAAGCAGAGTCAACACAGGCACATAAATCAAATACAAAACTATTTTGGGACTTATTTACTCCTTTTGTGAAAAGTGAGATAATCACCATTTTCCTTAATAATGTGGTACCAGATTGTGGGTATTCATTAATTGCCCATGAACTAAAAAAAGTTTAAAAATAAATTTGTTTTATGAAAATACTATTTTCATTCTTTCTTTTATATAACTCAGTGTTACACAAACGGTTGCTTTAATCTGCTAAACCATCGAGGAAAGATTCACAGTTAAATTGGGTTTCAAAAATGCGGTCAAAATGAAAGAGCATTAACTAAGTGTGGAGTTGCGGAACACAGCAGGCCAGGCAGCATCAGAGGAACAGGAAAGCTGACATTTTGGGTTGGGACCCTTCTTCTGTCTGGCCTGCTGTGTTCCTCCAGCATCTGCAATTCTTGCTTTCTCAGTCAAAACTAAATGACTTGTTTCCATTTCTGCTCGGTTCCGTTCTCATTCAACTCTCAATTCACAACTGTCTATCATCCAATCAGAAGCACTTGTGCATTGAAGACGAATATGAACTTCACTTATTGTATTTAAGACCAGTTCTTGTATCTCTCCTTATTTACAGGAAGGTTAGAAGCTGTTCCAAGATTGGCATCACCCAAACCATTATTCTATTTCATCACTGCCATTCCGAAGTTGTAGCTACTGCTACCTTGCATTAGTCATTGCATATCCTGATATCCCCACCTCAAAGCTCAAAAAGTAAGAAACCTGTCATATATGGAACCTAGTTTAAATAATCAAAATCTAGAGGCCTCAGTCCTCAATTGGTTCCAATTATCAGTTTGAAATCTAACTATAACCTTCCCATGGATTTTACTGCATTAGCATCATTACCCTCAGGATTGACAGTGCATTAGTTAACTGCCGATTATCATTTTTTGAACAGCTATTTTAAACTTTGGATTATCGTCTACACTAAAAAAAGATTGCAAGGAGACACGGAGGCAACATTAGTAAACCCGGTAGCAAACGTTTAACAGCGAAGTGGCACAGCAGCCAAGTCACGACTTACTCAAAACAAATAAACTATATCTTTACCTTTGAGACGTTAAGCTCAAGAAGGGAAAGAAACGAGAATGGGCACAACCCTTTGATAACAGATTTTTAGAGAAAAAGAACAGAAAGGAGGGCGATGAGACTTCACCTGTAGAAAGATGCGTCTGTGGTAACCTGGGACTCAGTTAAAATGTACTGTAACATCGGGGTTACGTTTCAACATTAAAATCCAAATGGGAGTGGGCCACAGCCAGGCAAAGCGGCGGCTCACTGGCATCGAATCGGAGTCCCAGCCGCCGCAGCAGCAGCAGAGCCGCGTGTCCCCAGCTCCTGGGAGGGCGACAAGAGAGGGGGCAAAGGGAGATGGCCGCCCCGGGGGTGGAGGGCAAAGGGTGGCCGCTACGTCGTGGGGGGGGAAAGAGAGGAGGGAAGGAGTCTCGGCTTTTAAAAAAAAAGGGGGAGGGGGTGATGCGGTTTGCTGGGGAGATCGTCAGGGAATCGCCAGACAGAAGCGGGTCGTGGGTGTCGTCTGCGGGGGGCGGGGGGGGGGGCAGCGACCCCCCGGGAGGGAGTCGCCGGGAGATAGACGAACAGAGCAATACTTCGCTACCCGTCCTCTCCCCTCGGTATCGCCAGGCGATGTGTAACTCACCGGGAAGTGTAAGCGGGACGAGACCGGGGCTCAGCGCCGGGACTTTATCCGGAGATCGGACTGAGTTGGTTATCTCCTTTTTTTTTTGCTGCTTACAATCACCTCAGCGCCGTCAAAGCCACGACACAACAATGGCGACTGCTTCACTTCCGCTCGTTGCAACCTGCTCACTCTTCCCCCCGTCCGCTGTCTGCCACGAAACCAGTCTCTAGCTCCTCCTCCCCACGGCAGCGGCTCGGAGAGATTAGACCGCCCACCAACCCACCCAAAGGAGACTCATTGTCGGGAAAAGGCAAAGGGCATCCAAGATTTAGTACTTTAATATTTTACCCGGGAGAACAAACAACTCAAAATAAATATTTAATTAGGATCCAGTGGCTGTGACTTGACAGATAGCTACTATTTTCACTGAAATTCATTTGTTAATGATAATAAGTTTGTGTGGGCTTTCAATATTCGTTTTGCAATGAAACAAGTGTCTCACGTTTCCACTTCAATGATCTTGACAACAGTGCAGTTTGCAATATTATATTTCATGTTTCTGGTAGTAATATATTTTGTCGGTTGCATGTGTCAGTTGAAATCATGACCTGAACTTTTTTTTTCAAAAAGTCGTAGGCGTTTCAGAAATCAGACAATTAACATGCAACACCACTTCTTGAAAACACTCGCAATTTATCCAGCATTTTTCACGACCACCAGTAACCTTAAAACACGTAACCAGCACTTTTTTTTGAAGTGCACTGGTCACTGTTAAAATGAAACTCCAACAAACAGCAACATAATACAAGACAGAAAATCTATTTTTTTCTTGAATCAGGGATAAATATTAGAAACAGCATCGAGGAAAACTCCCTCTTGTTGTAAATTCCTAGGACATCTACATCGCCAGCTGCGTCGCTATTTTTTGCCCAACGCTACATGCCCTAGAGGAGGTGACGGTTCTTAATCGCTCTAGTGCATTGTGCTTAGGTACACCCACTTGGACGTCAGGGAAAGAGTTAAGATTTTGACCTAATGATACTGGAAGAATGGCAATATATTTTCTAAGTCAGGATGGTGCACAGCTTGGAGGGGAACTTGCAGGTGATGGTGTTCCCATGTATCTGCTGCCCTTGTCTGTCTAGATGGTTGTGGTCATGGGTTTGGAAGATGCTATCTAAGGAGCTTGAAAAGCTTCTGCAGGGCATCTTGTCGATGGTACACACTGCTGTTACTGAATATCAGTGGTGGAGGGAATGAATGTGGTGCCAATCAGGTGAAAGGGTCACTCAACCTGAAATGTTAACTCTTATTTCTCTCCACAAATGCTGCCTGACCTGCTGAGCTTTTCCAGCGATTTCTATTTTTGTTTTTCATTTACAGCATCCGCAGTTATTTTGATTTTTATTAAGTGGATTGCTTTGTTGTGGATGGTGTCAAGCTTCTCTAGTGTTGGTGCAGCCACACTCATCCAGGGTCCTGTCTTGTCCCTTTTAGATGCCGGACAGCCATAGGGGAATTACGTGGTCAGTTACTCGCTGCAAGATTCCTAGCCTCTTGATCTGCTCTTGTAGCCACGGCACCTATTTGGCTAGTTCAGTTCAGTTTCTTGTCAATGGTAACCATCAGGATGTTGATATTGGAGATTCAGTGATGGTAATTCCATTGATTGTCAATGGCTTAGATTCTCTCTTGCTGGAGATAGTCATTGCCTGCCACTTATGTATATAGAACAGTACAATGTGACATAAATGTTACATGCCACTTGCCAACCCAAACCTGGATATTTTATATATAGAGACAACAAGGTGCAGGGCTGGATGAACACAGCAGGCCAAGCAGCATCATAGGAGCAGAGAGGCTGACGTTTCGGGCCTATACCCTTCATCAGAAAAGGGGGAGGGGAAGGAGGTTCTGAAATAAATAGGGAGAGAGTGGGAGGCGGATAGAAGATGGATAGAGGAGAGGATAGGTGGTGAGGAAACAAACAGGTCGAAGAGGCGGGGATGGGGCCAGTAAAGGTGAGTGTAGGTGGGGAGGTAGGAAGGGGATAGGTCAGTCCAGGGAGGACGGACAGGTCAAGGGGGTGGGATGAGGTTGGTCGGTAGGAGATGGAGGTGCGGCTTGAGGTGGGAGGAGGGGATAGGTGGGAGGAAGGACAGGTTAGGGAGGCAGGGATGAGCTGGTTTTGGGATGCGGTAGGGGGAGGGGAGATTTTGAAACTTGTGAAATCCACATTGATACCATTGGGCTGCAGGGTTCCCAAGCGGAATATGAGTTGCTGTTCCTGCAACCTTCGGGTGGCATCGTTGTGGCACTGCAGGAGGCCCAGGATGGACATGTCGTCTGAGGAATGGGAGGGGGAGTTGAAATGGTTCGCGACTGGGAGGTGCAGTTCCTACTATCTCTGATTCTATTTTATATATACTCTTCTTTAAACCACCACCATAAGATCTTGTGCATCCACACCCACTAGATCTTGATTTAATATTTCATTCAAAAGAGAGCACCTATGATAATGTAGTATTGCCTCAGTACGGCTTTGATTTTTTTATGTTCCAGCCCTGGAATGGGAGTTGAACCTGGAAGAGGTAAGTGCCTACCAACTGAGTTACAGCTGAAGCACACATAGCTGCTATAGCTGATGATAAGAACAACTGCCCATCTCACTGTTCATAAATGTTGTCAAATTTAATTTGATAGTCCTGTAAAGCACCTTTAATACAAGATGAAGTTTTGCTGAAATAACATTGTGCTAAATCAATTTTAGGTAGTTGTCATTCACCTCGTGGTAGACAATAGCCCACAGCACAAACAACCCTTAAATATTTAATTCTAAGTTTGTCTGTTTTCCTGTTTGAGTTGACCCAAAAGATCATCTATAACCATTTTGAATGTGTAGCATGTTTAAAAGATTATGGTCTTCTCATGTTCTTCTTAGATTATAATCACAATTTTTATGGGAAGCTTAACAGAATTACAAAATATGTTTCATCATAATGAATAAGGCATTGCTTGAGTAACATGATGGGAATTTTATTGTGTTGTAGTTGATGTAGGAATCCTTCAGTTTGGTTTTCAGTGTCTGAAATAAAGGTAGTATTCCAATACTCCCCAGTGTTAAATTATATTGTAATGAAAATATAATACTGCAGATACTGGAGATCTGAAATAAAAACAGAAAGTACTGGAGGAACCTCACAAGCCCAGCAGCATCTGTGCAGAAAGAAATTAAGCTAGTGGTCCAAGTCCAATATGATTTTCCTTTGGAACTTCTCTTGTCTTGATTAATATATTAATGTCAACAAAATATGTCAATCTTGGATTAGTGGTTGATCCCTCGCTATAGAGTTGCAGTTCTAGGTTCAAGTTTCACTCCAGACTTTTTTTTAAGCACATAACCGAGGTTGATAGATGACTGCAGTGCCACAGTCATGCTGCAGGGTCCAAAGTGCCATCTATTTCCTGTCATCATAGGTGGGTATGACATATCCAATAGCTCTATTCAAACTACAGCAGAACCATTCTTTTGATCACCATTTATTCTTCTATCAATAGCAATAAAAAACAAGTTGATGATTTAAAAGAAATCTATACTTTGAATCACAAGCCATGCTATCACAGTGATACTGTGCCACACAAACTCCTGACCAAAGTCAGACTTTATGGAATAAAAGGCAAAATCCTGAGTGATGGGAAGCATAGAATAATGGTTATAATGTATATTTTTTGGGGTGGGGGCATGAGTTCTCTCGGGACTAATTTGGCTCCCTTGCTTTTCCTGATATATGTATCATGAGAAATGTCCAACCTCACTGGGGGTTGTGATCAAATTACAGTAGGACAAGACTTGGCAAAACAGAATTTAAACAGAAACAATTCCAAAATGATAAACTGCTAGTTTAAATGGGGAATTAACAGAAAAAGCATCAAGCAACAGAGTTAACTATAAAACCTTTACTTGCTGTATTGGTTAAGAATCAGAGCTAGGGAGAGATTAGTCCCCCAATTCTGATCATGAGAGAAAAGGAACAGGGCTTGGGCCTGAGCCAGGTTGGGTTTAAAAAGCACTGAATGTGTGTTCACCTCTGCTGGTGCACATTCTGACCTGGTCTTGGTTCAATTCATAAGTGTGGTTTCCTTTAAACCTGGGTTCTTCTCCCCTTGTCCCCAGTCTGCTCTGTGGATGGGGTTTTAGAGAGTAGGTGGAAGGAAAGGTGGTGTGTGTCTGGCTCAAGCAATCTCAGGACTCACACCAAACTCTCTCTCACCGTGCCTCCAATACAGACTCATCTCTTCCTTTCCATCCACCTCTACTCTGTCGTACACATACACTCTTTTGTCTCCTCTTTTTCACACACATACACACACTTTCTTCTCTTCCCCTCACACTCTCATTCCCCCTCACAGACTTTCACCCTTTCTTCACACTCTTACCTCCACCAATTCATCTCAACCTTCCATCACACGCTCCCTCCCTCATTCTCACATTGTATGTCTGACCTACTCCACCATCTTGACTGGTGTCCTTCAGGATGCTGTGTTCTAGGCTGAAATACAGTGTTTCCTGACCCATTTGGAGACTCATCTTCTGATGTGGCCAGAGGTGAAGCATATCTCCCCATTCTTCTTGACTTGTCTATGTGTGTCTTGGTTGACCACACCATTCTCCTCCAAAGCCTCTCAATTATTATCCAGCAAAATGGGACTGTTCTCAATCTCCCCTCCCCCTACCGCATCCTAAAACCAGCCCAGCTTGTCCCCACCTCCCTAATCTGTCCTTCCTCCCACCTATCCCCTCCTCCCACCTCAGCCCCACCCCCATCTCCTACCTACTAGCCTCATCCCGCCCCCTTGACCTGTCCGTCCTCCCTGGACTGACCTATCCCCTCCCTAACTCCCCACCTACACTCACCTTTACTGGCTCCATCCCCGCCTCTTTGACCTGTCTGTCTCCTCTCCACCTATCTTCTCCTCTATCCATCTTTTATCCCCCTTTCTCCCTATTTATTTCAGAACCCCCTTCTCCTCCCCCCTTTCTGAAGGAGGGTCTAGGCCTGAAACGTCAGCTTTCCTGCTCTTCTGATGCTGCTTGGCCTGCTGTGTTCATCCAGCTCTATACCTTGTTATCTTTGTTCTCATCTAATTCCTTCCTTAGCTATCTAATCACAGCCAAAGAATCGTTTGTAAAGGTTTTGCATCCTGTCCCACAATGTTGGCTATGGTGCCTCTGCTTCCTATGGTTCCTCTACTGCTGCTAAATTATTAAACCGCCTCTACTGAATGAACAGTAATTTTCCACATTTAAATATTGGGAAGACTGAAGCCAGTGTTTTTAGTCCCTACTCTGAGCTCTGTTCCTTAGTTACCAATTCATTCCTCTCCCTGATATAAAGCCTGTCTATTGTCGACCTCGTATAACACTTGCTCCTAAAAATGGTTCCAAACTCATTTTTACACAAAGGAACAGCTATTTACACCTCCAAGACATCACTCAGTTTTGCCCGTTTCAGTTCAAAATTCACTGAAACATTCATTCAGGTCTTAGTTACGTTCAGATGCAGTTATTCCAATACAGTTGTGGAATTCGGCTCTCATAAACGTGAAGGTTTCTAAAACTCTGTAACTCATATCTTAACTTTTAGCGAGTTCCTGTTGTCTGTTACCCCTTTGTTCACTGACCTACAGTGGCCGCAAGTCAAATATATCGAATTAATATTAAATTGATAACAATATCATGTTGATATTAAAGTTCTCATCCTTGCTTTGAACTCTCTGAATAGCCTTGCCTCTCCCTAACTCTAATCTCTGTAAATGCCATAATTCTGAGATACTTGCACTCAACTACTTATGGTACATTAGCATTCCTAGTCATAATCATTTCACTATTAATAGTAGTGTCCTTAGTTACCGAGGTCTCTATGAAATTTCTTCCCTCCCTTCTTACCTCTCCATCTCACATTTCTGCTTTGATCCATTCCTTACAATCTACCTTTTCAATCAAGTTCTGGTTATCCTCATAATTCAGCATCACAAATCATTTTACAGTGCTCTTGTGAAGCCCATGGGATGTTTGATGACATTAAACATGCTGTATTAATTTAAGATACTGTGCTTTATTTTTTAATCATAAATGACATCTTTGAAGGAATTAGATATAATTGACAAAATGGAACTAACCTAATTGACCCAACACATTCATCTTCATGCTCCAAATTGGCTGTCTTAAATTCATTGCTTGTTCTTTTCCCACATCTCTTTCTTCTTTTACTGTCTTACTAAGATATTCTTATATGTGGTCACACTCTCTGTTTCAAATATTAATTCATTGTGTATTCCATACCTTTGATGCACGTGTCTCCTAATCTCCAACATTCAATCATGTCTATGCTGCTTCATTATTAACCCTTCAATCTGTGATCCCACATGTTTCCATTTTTCTAACTCTAAGCAACTCATAAAAGCATGGTAAATACCTGAGAGAAAAGTCACAAATTTTGAAACCTTTCTTCAGCTTTGAATGTGCTTATTTGTTGAGGTCATGGGCCAATAGATACCTGCTGTTCTCCCATTACTGGGATAACTATAATGTGTAATCCAGCCAGCCAAGCTGTCTAACACAGGATTCCTCAAATCTGTTTGATCATGGCACCAAGATCAACTTAAAATTAATATAGTCTCCAGAAGGTATGTTCGAATCAACCTGTTGAAGGATGCTATGTCACATCTCTACAGCAGAATAGCCCTGTTTCCGGTTGGAACTAAAGAACAGCGAGCAAGATCACCTGTAATTCCCAGTCACATGGCTAACTTTGGCGTCCCTAATAAGGCTGAGACGACTGGCAAAATGAACAGGGACTGGGCTTTAGGCTTGAATCAGAGATAGTAGGAACTGCAGATGCTGGAGAATCCGAGACAACAAGGTGCAGAGCTGGATGAACACAGCAGGCCAAGCAGCATCATAGGAGCAGAAAGGCTTTAGGCTTGCCGTCTTCGGTACTCGACAGTTCTCAGCTAGATATTTTCTAATCAACCCGTTCCGAGTGCTTTTACACAAGTGTGACTTGAACATGGGCCTCCTGGCTCAGAGGTTGGGGCACTACCGTTGGACCACAAGAACCCTTAGCTCATAGCTCTCACAATACAGCACTCTCACCCATTAGGAAGCCGGGTAAGACCGAGTTATATTTTAACCAGTGTTAGAAACCTGAGAGTGACCCTGTTTTTTAAGAAGCAGCTTTTAAATCAATATAGCTCAAACGGATAGTTGCGTTCTACCGGTTTCCTTCCCTTCACTTTAGGGTGTCACACCGGAAGTGCCACGTGTACCGAGTGCGCATGTGCATGCGCCTGGTTTCCGCTAGTGACTTGCCCTCGGGCCGGCAGTCGGTGGCGCGTGCGTGCGGTGGAGGTAGCGTCACAGTCGGAGGTGGGGGCTGGAGGTTGTTTGGTGGGGGTGGCGTGTCACAGAGCCGGTCCCGCTCCGGTGGCGGCCATGTCAGGGGGCAGGGGCGGTTGGCCCCCTAACGCCGGGCCTGGCGCCCCACCGGCCTGCCTCAACGGTAAGTAAAGAAAGGCTGGAGTGTGGGGTGGGGAAGTGGTGAAGAAATGGAATTGGTGCGTCGGCGCACGATCCTTCTGACTTTCCCGGGAGACGCCGTGTGTCTGGCCTGAATTGTTCGGACCGTTAGGTGGGGTTGGTGGTTGGTGGTTGGGGGGTAGCGCGTCGTCGTCGTCCTCTTTCCCCCGCAGCGCCTCCCCGGTTCTTGTAAACGTGTCAGTGAGAGTCGGTGACGCCCCAGGCGGCTCTCCCTCCTGCCACCCCCCCCACCAAACCACCAACCACCATCGGCTGTCGCTCTTTCGAAACCATCGAGCTCAAGTCACCCGATCCACACTCTCCCTCCATGTTACAACTCAGTTCAGTTGAGGAGTTGTGTTCATTTCTTGCTATCGCTCACTGTCGTCTTCGGTGTGCCAATCTCGTGCCTTCTGGTGTCCGATTTCCGCCTTTTCGGTTTAAATGTATTTTTTTTGCAAATCGTGGTCCATTTAGTTTTTCTGCGCCCCCCCCCCCCACTTTTGTTTTTGTTTGCCTTTGAATGGCTATACCTTCTTGCTTGTAACTGTCACGGTTTTCTCCACTGAACGTAATGTCTTGGTGGACTGGCCCGAGGTGTTCACCTCCCGATCCGGACCTGCGGCCTCAACGGTGTAGTTGTGATATTGTGGCCGGGGGTGAGGGCTGGGGGGAGGGCAAATGCAGCGTGAAGCTCCTCTCAATGCTGCCACAAGGGAAATTTTAAAGGCAGATGTGTCTGTATCTGTTGGACGTTAGTTTCAGTTATCGTGCCACGTCTCCTCACGACTAATGACAGAGCACCGATTTAAGGTGATTCGCAAAAGAATCCCTATCTCGGTGCGTGTGTTGGGGTAAAAGGATCAAGCAGCGAGCAGTTACGACCTGGAATAGACCGCGTCGTTGTTTGGCGGAGATAAATTAGTTATGGCTTTCAGAGAGAAAATGAACACCTTTCTGTAGAAGAAAGATTTGTAGGGCTCATAGGGGAAGGCAGGGGAGTGTCCCGAGATGATTTTTTTGCTCGAGCAGAGAATTGTGATTAACGCGCTGGGCTGATTGGCTGCCCTCTACTCTTGTAACGATTCTATCATTCTATTTGTGAGGCAAAAAGTGCAGGGGACGCTTTTGATTTGTCTCATCAACAGCTGCACAGTTTGTGTTGCTCCAGTTTGGAGGTTCATCTGTAGGAGCCTGTTTGATCGGGCCCATCACTGCTGATCAAAGGAACGCATCCCCCCTCCCCCATAAAGCTGAAAGTCTAACTTCATAAAATTGGTTTCCTTTTACAATATCCATATATAACAGGAAGGATCAAACTCTTCCCTGATTCACCTTGCCCTATTTTTCAGATCAAGAACAGTGGTGAATCAACTTTTTGTCTTTTAATACAGTTTATGGTTGTAATTGCTTACTGAGTTGCAATACCAGTATGAATGCTTTGTTTTGAGAAGGGGCCAACAAGAGACAAAATTGGTGCAGAACTAAAACTGAACTGTGTTCATTGGATACAATATCAGGTGTAAGGATGATTTCAGTTTTGAATAAGTAATGGCAGTGATGTTAGAACTTTTAATTGATTTGGAGCATTTATTTGCAATCCTTTTTACCATAAACCCATTAATGTCCAGAATTTTTGATTTCTCAATTTGCCATGGACTTGGAGTCTAGACCTCTGATTTTCTAATCCAGCAATAGAACCAATAAGATCCAATACCCAATTGTCAGATGAAGGCATGGGTGAATAAGCAGACAGGAACTAAAACTGCCATGGTTTAATTTGTAACATTTAACTAAATGCTCTGCATGAAGGAAGTCTGTTGTCAATGGTTAACTAAAATTCTCTCAACAATTTTTCCAGTTTTCTCATCTCACTTTGAGGGTGATGACCACTGACAAGAAAATGTAACTTTGTGAGGGTTTCAAAGATGATGGTCATGTTCTCAACACTAATTGGAAGCATTAAGAATCAAAGCTTGAAATAGGGTCAAAAGAGTTTAGGTGGGAGAACAGGATTATAATGATAATATAAATCATATCAGTGCTATCTTGACAGCATATTACAGGACAAAGATGAATTGTTATTTGTTTCCACTTTCAATTGATGCAATAGGAATGATTAAAATGTCCCACCACCTTTGAATCCTGTAGGATGTGATCTGGGAATGTTGGCTTCCATGTAGTTCTTACATTTGTGAAGTCTAAACTTCAAGGTTTTAAAACAAAACTTAGCAAATGTGAAGAAATCGAAGAAAAACGTGTTAACATTAGCACAAAGTTGCAGTCGTGTGCTGACAACATAAAGTCTTTTGGGGGCTTGTGATGGCCCAGTGGTGGTATTGCTGGACTGTTAATCCACAGACCTAGGGAATGTTCTGGGGACTTAGGTTTGAATCCTGCTATGGCAGATGGTTGAATTTTAATTCAGTAAAAATTTGGAATCGAGTCTAATGACGACTATGAATCCATTGTCAATTGTTGGGAAAACCTATCTGGCTCACTGAGGTCCTTCAATGAAGAAAACTGCCATCTTTGCCTTTTTGGACTCCAGTCCCACAGCAATGTGGCTGACTCTTAACTGCCCTCTGAAATGGGCAATAAATGCTAGCCTAAAATAAAACTAAAATAGTCTTCTGTAACAAACATCATCCATATTCCTGGACACTTTGTTTCTTTAAGTGGCTGACAAAAAATTTCCAACCTAGAGGCATTCATATACAAGAAACCTTAAATTATTTGTTTAGACTGCAGCATTTTGTTTAGGTGGTGGCAGGGAAACTCTAGTTAAAACAGCCACGGCAGCAAGAGTGAGGCTAAATCACAGGCCATTACCCTGCAAGCTTCATGTATGGAAATAGCTGCTTACTGCATTTAATAATCAGGTTTGTATTATTTTCATATGATGTAGATTTTGATTGCTGTGTAGAGAATAAGAAATTGAAAATTTTAAATCTACTTTTGGACTCAGTTGGTCCACACTATCAGTTGCTAAGCCCATCTGACCAGGAATGTAGCAGGTTTGATTCTTAATGAGAGTTTGTAACTGTTTTCAGTCATGGCGCAGTTGAAGAGAAAGCTGGCCAGCATTAGTCTTTCTAAAACAGGGAGTTCATGCTGGGCTTCCTCTAAGCTGCTAGTTTGAGTCAACACTGGCTCAGTTCTCCACCACCCAATGCCGTTCGAGGAATGGTGGTAAGTCGAGAGAAGATAAGAAAGAAGAAAAAGGGGGAAAGAACGATGAAGAAAAAGAAAAGAATGGCGTCGACAAGCTCTGTCTTAAGATCCTACTGTACCACCATCTTGGAATTCAGGGGACAGGAAATATTTAAAACAGATGAGAAATTATGTCACTCGAAGGGTTATGATCCTGCAGAATTCATTATCCCAGAGTGTGGTGGTTGCAGGGACAATAAGCAATTTTGAGGAGATAGACAGATTTTTAATTATTAATGATTTGAAAGGTTGTGAAGAACGGGCAGGAAAGTGGAGTCGAATCAGATGAGATCAACCATGATGGTATTAAATAGTGAACAGGCTCAAGGGGCTCCTAGATCTTGAGTTCTAAATACATAAGACCATAAGACTTGAGGAAACGGAGGCCATTCAGCCTATTGGAGCTGCTCAGCTATTCAGTCATATCAGAATGTTCAACTTGATTTTAGTACTTTCCCTCCATAATCCTTGATTCACTTGGCAGTTATAAACCTGTGTAAACATTGAACCTTGACAGCTGTTTGCAGTGAAGAATTTCACAGATTCACTACCCTAAGAAAGTGCGAATATTATCTTTCGGTGATTTCTAAATGAGGACTTACAAATCCCTGTGCTGTAGCTTTTAGTAGTTTTCACCATTTAAATAATATTCATTTCGTCTATTCTTCCTGTCAAGTTGAGCATAATGTGGGAACATGAGGTATTGCACTTTGACAAATTTTTGTCATCCACTTAACCTGTCTATAGCCCTCTGCATTTTGTCATCTTTACCACTTGCTTCCTGCCTATATTTATCATCTGCAAACTTAGCTACAATACATTCGCTTCCCTTATCCAAGTCATTAATATATATAGTTACATGCCAACATAAGACAATTGTATTGGGATTTGCAAGAATGTGCATGGAGAATAATTGGACTGCTGAATATGTTTCCCTTGTTTTTCTTTCCACTTATATAGATTGAATCCACATCAATCAAATATTGTGCCATTGTCTTGTAAAAGTTATCTATATTATTTATCAGTTGTGATCAGTGTTCTGCAGAGCTGTTAACAGATTTTAAAATCTATCTGAAACACTATCCTCAATTTCATTAAAAATCAAAAATTAACATTGTACAATTTCTGCAAAGATTTTGTTTTGCATTTTGGCAGTTAAGTGACAATGGTATACAGGTATCTGAGTGTGGAGCTGGAGGAACACAGCAGGCCAGGCAGCATCAGAGGAGCAGGA